ATTGTTTATTTAGATATATCAACAAAACTAAATTTAGATTTTAAATGCTTACTCTTTAATAAATTGATTAACTATTTCAATCATGTCTTTAAATTGTTTTTTATTATTTATATTACTTACTTTTTTTAAATTTTCTAACAATTTCTAAATTCTTTCATCTTAATATAATTCTAGAAATTATTTAATAATTTTTTTAATAGCTTTCACATCCATACAAATATTTTCATCTTCTTCATTTAAAGTCTTTGAAATACTTAAATATTAAACAAAATAAATTTTATCTATTTCTATAATTGATTGATAAGTAGTAAATTGATTAGATTCGTTCTTGAGTTTGATAAAAATATTGTATAAATTCAATTAACAATGACATAATTTTTTTTCAGCCATTTTAAATAAATGTTATAAAATGGCTTAAATAATTAAGATGGCTTAGGCTTTAAAGATGACAACATATTAAGATTTCTAAATAAATGAATATTAAATACAATAGCATCATATAAGTCATTTAATGATACACATTCTTAATAAGGAATTTAATATTAAATAAACCCATCTTCATATTATTTATTCCCAATTATATAGGGATTGTTTTCAAACTCATCAATCTTTAATAATTCTTTTTCTTCACAATTCACTTTTTAACAAATTATTTTGAAATTCTACCACCCTTTCATTTCTTTATATCAATTTCAATACTTAAATAAATTATATGAAAAAATTTACTAAATCACCATAAAGAATGGTAAATATATTAAAAAATATCTTAATCTCACAGAACTTATTAAAATAAGTATAAAATAATTGGATAATTTAACATAATTTTTATTTTTCTCTATAAATTAAGTAAGTTAATTACAAAGAAATGATGCATTTTAATGATAACAATAAAATTAAAAAATATATCATGATGAAAAGTCAGAGAAAATTAGATACCCAAAATAAGTTTAAAAATTTAATGCTTATAGTAAATCAACATTTTCATGATTATATAAAATTTTCGAACATTAAAATGAAATATATAGAGAGTGAAATGCTAAAAATGTTTAATTTTGATAATTATTATATAAAGAGGAAAATTAAAAATGAAATAAATCATTCTTGTATCCAGGGACTAAAGCCAGTAGTTTGAAGGGCAACTGAATTATTTTTGGCAACTTATACTTTTGGCAATATCTTTTTATAATTTTTTTATCTTCTTTCATTAAAGTAATATTATTATTTGTTAATTTGTGTTTCATCAATATTCCTTCTTAGTACTCTCAATTATAATTAACCATATTATAAAGCTCCAATTAAAGATGGTTTGTCTTATAATTTAATATTTGGTAATTTAATTTATTCTTAACTTAGATTTGCATTAAGAAATGATGAACAATCTGTTGAACATGATGAATGTCTGTACAATCTTAAATTTCTATGCATAAATTAAAATTATGTAATTTATAATAATAAATATAATAAGTGCTATATTTAATTCATTTTTATTTATGTAGCAATGTGATTCTATGAGCATTTCTTAATAAACATTTTTATCTAATTTTTCTTTTTAATTCGCTGTCAATTTATAAATCCGGGATATTTAATAGTGGTTAAGATAAACCTGGAGATTCAAAAGGTTTTCTTCTTCCAAATTTATTATTCTAACAGTAGGTTTCAGTATTTGTATTCTCATTTCCAATCGTAATTCTACTTACTTAAAGAGATGGCAATTTCAATTTAAAGTTTTTCTTGCTTTTAAAATAAAATGGAACAACTTGATCTTAATCATTTGATTCAGTATTTATAAATTTTAAAGCATTATTTTAAAATAATTCTAACTTCCTTGAACTCATATTTTTAATGCTTTATTTATTCATATTATAAAAAATAATAATTCACTCTTTATGATAGTCATATATCGATTAACTGATTGGTTAGTAAATATTTAAATATAAAACCAAATAAAATATCAATAAATGACAAAATCAAGATATAATGCATGAACAACTATCACCTACATCTTATTCTTAAATAACATTATAATCTTTCCAATTATCTACAATGCTAATATCAATCAAACCAACATTTGGTATGACTTCATCTCTAAAACTAATTTAATGATTCTTATCCTTTTTTATTATTTCATGATGAAACATATCAATTCTTGTTTTTTATTAATTATGTTTTGAATTATTCTCTGTTGTCATTTTTTCAAAAATCTCGTTTAGCTCTTCAATTTCAGTCCAACTATCTCCATTACATTATGAGACTTGAATCATTATGAGTTATAATTTTGTATTATTAAAAAATTATTAAACTACAATACTAATTAAATATCGATTCTAAAAGAGGTAAAAAATTAAAATCAAAAAATTTATTAAATTTACTTTTTTTCTTCATCAAACTAACCTATTTTCACTCCAAATTTCTTTAATAATTTTAACGATTCTAAGTTTTGTTGATTATTTCTTCATCCTATTATAATTCTTATTAATATGTTTAAGGATCTGAAAGAACTTAAGTAATATTTGATATATTAATAACTAAATCTTCAAATTCTAAATATAATAGAATTATTATTTTTAAACATCTTTTGTTTTAAATGAATTAATTCTTAAAATAATGAATATTTATCTAATTGTGTTTTCTGGTTAACAGATGCATCAAAATAATATTATTATCCATTCATAATATTATGATTTTATTGAATTTTATAAAATTTTTTATTACTAATTAAAAATGAGAATACTATTACACTTATTTATTATTTTATAATATAATTAAATTAGATAGATTATTCTTCCCTAATCTTTACTTATCTTTTAATTGCATGATGATTTTTATATTTATTTAAGTCTATTCCTTTTTATTGATTAAAAAATCTAATCTAAAACCTAAACAATTTTTAAAATTTGATGAACTTATATGCTGACATTTAATTCACCCTATTAATAAATAGTATATTTCTTTATAAATTAAGTGAAACTAGAAATATTGGTAATAAATGTTAAATAATAGTAATTATGTTAAAATATTATACTTAAAGTAACATTTTACATCATGAAAATAGATTTCGAACAAATTTTGAAAAAAAAATTAAGTCTATCAATTATTAATTTTTTCAATTCCTAATTTTATGCTTTCAATTAATAATTATTATAAAAAAAAGATAGCTTTTCTTTTTGAGTTAGGCTTCTTTCTCTCACTTTTAATAATTGCTCGATTGTTCTAATCTTAAAATTTCAATTTTTAATGTTTTAATAAAAATATCCTAATTTTATAAATATATTTTAATTGATTATAAGACGGATAAAATTATTTTAAGATAACAATTCTTTTAGAAAAAGTTGTTAAAATTTTTCTTTCTTGAAAAGTATTAACAAAAGGAAATTAATTGAGAGAAGCTCTTAATTAATTTGTTTATTTGCTTAAAAATTTGATTATATAAAAAATGCTAGAAAATAATAGAATAATGTTAATTATTTCAAAATTCTCATTGTGAATTTTTTTTGAGAAAAGAATAAAAAATTCATAATATATTACTATTAGTTTGAATATCAATATATTATATAACTTATATTAGAAGATCCAAATTTTAAGAACTGATTATCTTTGATAATATTAAAGAAGTTGATTCTTTTTTTACTAATCTTTATCATGAAGATCTGATAGATGTTGAATTCAAATTAAAAATGAAATAAATTAATTTTTATAAATTTTCTTTTTCATAAGAAATTAACCATATATTTTCAATATGAACTTAAATCATTAAACATTTAATTCAACTTTTACATAAGCAACTCATCTTCTTCATCCAAGCTCAGATTTCTTTAGTTAATGAAAGAATCAGAAATTTTATTTCTCCATAGTTAAACAACATCGTTGTCAGAATTTAGGTTTTAAACTATTGGGTAATGATAAATATTGTATAATTTTGTTATCTTTTGGTTGATTAATTCATTTTAAGCATTCTTATAGTTTTTGACAAAAAAACTGAGCATATATTCATATAGATTTTCATCTAAGTATGCCGTTTTCAAAGCTTCATCAATATGTGAATAAAGTTAGGGATTAATAACTGAGTTTTAGACTTAAAAGTAAGTCGAATTTTCTTCTTATTCTTTAAAATCTTGATATTATTATTATTCTAATTAAAATTATTATTATTATTATTAATATTATTATTATTATTATTATTATTATTATTATTATTATTATTATTATTATTATTATTATTATTATTATTATTATTATTATTATTATTATTATTAAATTTATTATTATTAATATTATTATGATATTAAATCTTCTGATTGCTCTTGATATCTTTAATGTAAATTTGTTTATTAGGGTAATTTTTAGTGGATTGAAATTTCCTTTTGTTCTAAGTTTTTAATTAATGGTTTTTCTTAAACGAAGGATTATTTAACTTAGTAACCTGTATTAAATTTTTCAACAGTTTTCAGTGGTTAAACATTTTTAGGAGTTTCAGCAACATCCTAGAAATTATCATGTATCAATTATTAATTTTTTATATTTTTTTAAACAAATTCCTTTAGCTCCTAATGATTTTTAGCTGATTACAGAATATTGAGTACATTATTTGAATACTCAGTTATATACTGAATTTTTTTGCTTAAATAAGCTTAATTGTCTTCATTAAATAATCCTATTAAAGAATTTTAATGAAAATCAAAGATTTCATAAGCAATTTTTTTTACTTAGTTCAAATTTTATTCATAAGAAACTAAATCATTGCTAACATGAATATTAGTAAAAGTAATTTTTAAATTCTCATTATCTACATAAATCGAATTCATATTAAGTCTTGAAATTTATGAGATCTGATAGACTTTGAGTAATTAATCCATAATATTGTATAAAATTATTATTAATTAGCCAAGAGTATAATATTTTATTTGATTTTACTATATTAAAATATAATCGATGATTACCTCTTAGAAAATAATATCGGCAAGTTTTTAACTAGTATCAATTTCATAAACTATACCTTCATTTTCATATTTAAACTTTTAAAGCTTTCCCATTCTTATTATTTGGTTATACCTATTTTCTGTTATGGTTTACATAGAAAACATTATATTTCTATTAAAAAAAATGTGATTTATATGATTAAAAATTCCAATTAAAACTTCAAATTTTTATAAAAAGTTCGAAAACTTATAATCAGGTTATGGATTTTAAATTTATTCTTTAAATAACAAACTGAAAGTTATATATTGAATGAATTAATAAGTTTAATCAGAAGGGTTTAAAGTATATTATAGAATAATAATATATGTGTTATTATTTTAAAAGAATATTTAAATACAAATAAGTCTCTCTTAATTTCTGATTAGGTATCGAAAATTTTAGATTGATAAATATATTGCTTATTTTTGTTTAGTAATTATAAAAAATAATTTGTAATAAAAGAAATGAAAGGGTGGTAGAATTTCAAAATAATTTGTTAAAAAGTGAATTGTGAAGAAAAAGAATTATTAAAGATTGATGAGTTTGAAAACAATCCCTATATAATTGGGAATAAATAATATGAAGATGGGTTTATTTAATATTAAATTCCTTATTAAGAATGTGTATCATTAAATGACTTATATGATGCTATTGTATTTAATATTCATTTATTTAGAAATCTTAATATGTTGTCATCTTTAAAGCCTAAGCCATCTTAATTATTTAAGCCATTTTATAACATTTATTTAAAATGGCTGAAAAAAAATTATGTCATTGTTAATTGAATTTATACAATATTTTTATCAAACTCAAGAACGAATCTAATCAATTTACTACTTATCAATCAATTATAGAAATAGATAAAATTTATTTTGTTTAATATTTAAGTATTTCAAAGACTTTAAATGAAGAAGATGAAAATATTTGTATGGATGTGAAAGCTATTAAAAAAATTATTAAATAATTTCTAGAATTATATTAAGATGAAAGAATTTAGAAATTGTTAGAAAATTTAAAAAAAGTAAGTAATATAAATAATAAAAAACAATTTAAAGACATGATTGAAATAGTTAATCAATTTATTAAAGAGTAAGCATTTAAAATCTAAATTTAGTTTTGTTGATATATCTAAATAAACAAT